TTTAATACTAACGCCCTGTGTTATGTTTTTTAGAATCCTCTGGCTAGTAAACAAGCACAGGCGGGTAGAGGAAAATACTGATTGATTCTAAGATTAGTGCTTCAACTGCCTGACTTTAAAGAGAAATATGTTCATTTCTCAAGTGATTATTGGCATATGCCTAATTGTTGATGAATTATTAACATTTTACCTACTCAGAATAGGATAACCTTTAAGTTGTATTTATAATTTGTTCACTTATATAATGATTATATTGGTGATGACAGTAAGGGGAGCCCAAACATGGTAATACATTTTGGAGAGTTTGAAAATATACCTGTATAGGGAGAAAGGGAAGGGAAGAAGCATTTCTATAGCATCTAGATACTGTGGTAAACACTGTAAAAATATTATCTCGTTTGATCCTCATTAACAGTCTTGTGAAGTAGGTTCTGTTATTATCCCCATTTTATAGTTGAGGAAACTGAGGCAAACAGGTTAAGTGACTTATCCAAATCACTTGCCCAAGGTCACAGAGCTAGTGTATGTAGTTACATTTGAACTCAGGTCTTCCTGACTGTAGGCCCCAGTGCTCTATCTGCTGTTCCACCTAACTGCCTCGTATATGTAGAGTCCTCCTTCAAAAGTCTGTGGAGTTTTAAGCATTAAAGCTTAAACTCCTAAAATTACTACAATCTATAAGCACAGACACAGGAAGGAAAAAGGAAAGATGAGGGTATAGGCCAAGGGAAAAACCATCTGAATGGAGCAGCTGAGGAACCAAGAGCCAATAGCTGAAGATATGACCCTGTCCTGCTAGCTACAGAAAAGGAAGAGCAGACCAAGGCCTGAGTGAGCTCTTTCAGTAATACCTCTTGGAAACTGTGAGCTTCACTGTTCATTTGCTACCCAGGATTACAGCTATGGCCTTTTCTGTTTCTCCCCTTATTCTTTTTCTAAACTCATAATTAATCATTTAAGAGAAAACTATCCCTAACCTCCTCTCATGAGGATTTCTATCTTCCCTAACCTTAACCCTACCTATGTCCTTCTCCAACCCTGCCCACCTCTTCTAATAGTTTTAAGCTAATAAGCTTAAATCTTCATTAAGACTTTTGGGATATTCTGTATAGTAAGATCCTTAAAATTTAGGTGAGAGAATTAAATAAACTTTATTAATAGTAATAATAAACCTTTTATACTACTACTAGTAGTAATAAAACATTTCTCCAAACCACTGAACTACTACAGTGATATAATGAAATCCTGAAACTTACCTACAAACTACATATCTAATTATGCTTAGGATGAACTTAAGAAAATGAGACCAAGCATAAGATAGGGGTAGAAAATTTGGAAGACAATATAAGTTAATGGTAAAATGAGGAATAATGCCTTCCAACTGCTTTAGACATTTTCATTCTCTATAGTTATGGGCTTCTTGTGGTGGTGGTGATGGTAGTGATTGTTGTCCTTTAAAAATTGTATTGTTCTTTCTTTTTGTATTACTGTATCTTTTTAAGGATTCCCACACACACACACCCAAACTGCCTCTTCAAAAAAAAATGCAATCAAGTAAAAGAAATGTCTAAAAACTCATGCATTATTTTGTACCTTCATTATTCATCACTTGCCTGCTGAGAAGCAAGAGGCATCTTTTATTACCTAGTCTTATTAGTGACTGCATTACCAGAGTCCTGAAATTTTACTAGGTTAACTTTAACATTATTATTGTCATTGATTAGTTGTTCTGTTTGTTCTGCTTATGTCTCCCTGTATCACTTTATATTATTCTTCCCAAGTTTATCTGAATTCTTCATATTTCTTATGATGCAGTAGTAGTCCATTACATTCATATATTACAGTTTGTTCTGTCATTCTCTAATCAGTGGGTCCCCATTTGTATTTTCCTGTCCTTTGCTACCAAAACCGTTCTACTGTAAATATTTTGTACATCAGAATATTCCTAGCAGTCTTTTTTTTTTTTGGTAGCTAAGAAATAGAAACAAACTAGGTGCTCATCATTGGGGAATAGCTAAACAAATTTGGTACTGTAGTGTAAAGGACTTCTGTGATAGAAGAAACAAATTGGGAAAGAGAGATGAGGCAATAGTGTCATTAAATGGAAGCCCATGACTATGGAGAATGAAAATACTTAAAGCACTTGGAAAACATTATTCTTCATTCCCTTGACCCACTCCTTCAGACTACTTTAACCACACATAGGGATGGTTACACAATAGATTTCATCATTACCAGTGTGTTCCACTTCCAATTAGAAAATCTGATATTCTCCCCATCTGACCATAGACATTTATCATTCTACCTTTCTCTATGCCTCATTTTTCCTAATTCTTCACCTTCAGTGAGACCTTAACTCTCTCTACCCTGCAGTGCTTTCTGAAGCCCTAACTTCACTTTTCTCTCAGCCTACTAGTAAGCCATTTCAACTCTTCACTGTTTTCTATTCTCAAATCCTTTGCCTCTGTCCTATGGCTACGCATCTCTTCTCGGAACTAAACTAAACTCTGGATTGCTCCTATTATCCACCTCATCTGATAAAAGAAGGTAGAAAAAAATCTCATTACTGTACTGACTTGGTAACTTACAAAGTCATGTTATCCAATCTCTTCCTTAAATGATTCCATATCTCACTCCCCATGGAAGCTCTTCCAAAACATTCCCTCCTCCTCAAGGCTCTCACACTTTGTTTTCCACCTTTGTCTCAGCTGATGACTTTGCCTCTTACTTTACTGAGGCCATTCCATCTGAGATCTTTTTTTCCTTTTCTCTTTACCTCTAACCTCCTTAATTTCAACTCTTCTCTTTTCCCCAATCTCTGACAAAGAGTGTCCCAGTGCTAAATAAATGTTTGCTGATCAGTTGTTTCTTAATTAAATTTATCAACAAGACTTCAACAATAGAGAACATTAGGAACAACACAGGAAATATCATAAACATCCAGGGAAAAGTACAGGGCATGTACAGAGAACTTTGAGTAGTACAGATTTCCTAGATCATGGAAAATATGATACAAGAATTCTAGGTAATGAGTTTAAACTTGTAAGCAAAATTGAAGAGTTTTGAGCAGAATAAGCTCTATGACCATCTATATAGCTAAGGAAAATATGTCTTAACATATTATTAGGAATGGACAGTGGAGAGAATGAAGGTATGAAGACCTGTTAAGAAGCTATTGTAATTAAAATACTAAATTTAAAAAAAAGAAGCAATTGTAATTGTTAAGGAAAATAGTAATAAGGCCTTATATTAGGATAGTATCAGTATGAAGGTAGAACAAATGACTTAAATTTAACTTTACATGAGAGATGAGAGAAGAGGAAGGAGTTATAGATAACACCAAAATTTAAAACATGGGAACCTGGGTGGTTCTACTGACAGAAATAGTCAGCTTATAAAAAGGATAGTTTTTTTGGGGAAAAATAATAAACTTGCTTTTGGACATATTATATTGCATACAATTCTACTTATAGAACTGATAGTTGGAACAGTAGTAGCAAGTAAGATTGCTAAGCAACAGCGAAAGAAAATGTTAAGGATAGCAACTTAATAGCCTGAAAAAAGTTTTGAAGAGCAAATGAACATTTAGAGAAGTGGCGAAGAAAATCAAGAGAATGTGGTGATGCAGAATGCAAAGGAGGCAGGAAAGATGGTGGTCAGTAATATATGCTATGGAGACATCGAGGGGACAAGGACTGGGGGGAGTAAACTATTTTATTTGGCTATAAGGAAGTATAACTAGTGATCTTAGTGAGAGTGATTCATTGAAAACCAGTCACAAGGACAAAAGTTGGGAAAAAGTCATAGCATTAGCTATGGATAGCTTTTCCCAAAGAATAGAAAGATGGAATAGTACTTGATTGTGTAGACTAGTCAATTGAAGGCCTAGTTTTTTGTTTGTTTGTTTGTTTGTTTCCTGGAAAAATGCTACACATTTGCCAGCAACTGGGAAGAGTGAGTGGATAGAGTCTGAAGGTTCTTTTAGAAGAGTGAGGTTTAACAAGGTCATGGAGGTAGTGGAATGAGATATAAAAAGTCTTTCTTTGAGATTGCTGGGAGAAAGAGAGAGAGAAGAATAAGAACAAGAAGAATGCTGAGAAATTTTGTGGAGATTAAGGGTATGGGAAATTTATTAATTGAAGAGTCTGTACCTTCCATTAGTTGTTTGTCTATCTAAATTTTCTAAGTAAGCAAGACTTAAAGGCATCTAATCTAACTTCCTTTGTTTAGAACATATATAGTAAGTCCTAGATAGCCCGTGAGTAAATATACTTTTTGTAAATTTCTACAGCAAAAACCAAAATGGTTTGCTATCAGCTAACTTTTTTTTATTCCCTGTAATAACTCTTGGAACTTTAAGCTTCATGCTGAAAAATTATTTGTAAAAACTTTTAAATTGTGAACATTTAATTATTGTCATTTCTTAGGAATACTTTTCTTTGAGACTTCAAAACTTGGTAGTAAGAAATCAGGAACTAATACCTTTCACCTTTTTTTCCCTTTTTATTAAACGCTATCTTTTCCTTTGATTACATTCATTTATAGAATGTGAAGACTTCTTTAGAAGAAAGATACAGAGTAATCCCTTTTGATGTGGGTTTTGAATACAAACTTAATTAACCTGTAGGTAGTTTCTGTTAATTAATTATTAGATCTTCCTGTTAAAAATAATACTTGGGAAATTTTAGCACACATAGATAATAAGATTCCTTCTGTCTTAGTAGTAATTTATATATAAAAAGTTAAATAGACTTGACTTTATCCTTACTAAATTTAATTAGCATTTAAATGAAATTGACAACTCCAGACTATTTTTACAATTCGTATTAAAATGTAAGTCTCGGACTTTCATCAAAATTACTACTTAAAATTAGTATTAACACATTTTTTCATGAGTTTCTTAGTGCTGTGAATATTAAAGTATATATTTTTAAATTTAGATTATATAGGAGAGTATCGTTAATACTATTTGCTAATTTTTTTTCTTTAATAAATTGCAGCTGGACATTTGTCTCTTTGGATTCTAAAATAATGTCATCATGGCAAGATTTCGAAGAAGAACATGCATCATTTTGTCACTTTTTGTTTTATTTATTTGCTCCCTGATGATGGCTTTGAAAACTCTGAGACCTGATAGAGCTGTTTTTGGGGATCCATTTGGACTTGATCTTCTACCAGAACTTCGCCAACGCAAAGTACACTTGGAAACTAAGCCTGACATGCCAAATAGTGCCAGGGATGATAGTATAACAAACAGCAAGAATATAAAGAGTGTTGCTGCCAGTAGCCTAAAATTTCCTGTGGTGCCTGAGATAAACATGGAAAAGCTTCCATCCCCTAATTATAATTTTCATGTATTTTACTATAGTTGGTATGGAAATCCACAATTTGATGGTAAATATTTACATTGGAACCATCCCATCTTACCACACTGGGATCCCAAAATTGCTAAAAATTATCCAGAGGGCGACCACATTCCTCCAGATGACATTGGGTCCAACTTTTACCCTGAGTTGGGAACTTACAGCTCCAGAGACCCTTACATCATAGAAACTCATATGAAGCAAATGCGCTCAGCTTCAATTGGTAATGACTTTTTTATTTGTTATTTTGATTTGTTTGTGTCAGTCCATTGATAATTTAGACTTTAGATCTTAGTAATCATATTCTACTTTATAAGGCATCTTGGTGCCTAAAGGTAGCGATGGAGTAGTAGGAAGATTTCTAGATCTAGATACTGGAAACCGGGGTTTTAATTCCAGTTCTCAAAATAACGTTGGGCAAATCATTTAATGTCGCTTAAGTTTCTCATGGTACAGTGGAAAGAACACTAGATTTGGAATTATAGGAAGGAACCAGTTCAAAATCCAGTGCTGTCAGCTATTTCATTTTAGGCAGATCCCTTCTTCTGCCTGGGTCTGTATAATTAAGACGTTAAACTAGATAATTTCTAAGCACCCTCTCAATAAATTCCTGATCCTGTGATATCTTATGGAGAGATAATACTTCCATTACCTCCTTCTCAGGGCTTTTGTGATTAAAGCCCCTTGTAAACCCTTAAAGTGTGAATTGCTGTTTGTTGTTATGACCATAACCCAAATTGAAACCTTTTGGCTTTTAGTCAGTTTTCTCAAAACCCAGGGAAAACTACCTTTCAACAGTGCTGTTAATTAATTATACAGGCTCTTCTATTTCTTTTCCGTTTTTTTTTTCCTTTTTCTCCTTTCATTTTGTCTGTTTCAAAAATTATTTAATAGTGCCCTAGGGAAGGTAGGAGTGATAAATTTCAAATTAGCTAATGCTGCCCTTTTTAACTTGATCTAGTAAGATCAAATGTAGCAAGTTGACAGTAACCAGAAAAAAAAAGTTTTCTAACATGAATTTAAACTGTTCCAATTCAGGTTGTTTCAAGTATTCCTTTTGAATACATTAGATGCTTTTCAAAGGAATCCTATTGAAAACCTTTTTGCAAAATAAATAATTGTTCTTTAATTTGTCTGCTATGGAAATCTCAATTTTTACTTCATCATTCTCTAAGATAAAATCCATAAAACTTAGGGATTTACCTTACTTTAAGTGATTGCTTAAGTGGAAGGAGAAACAACTTGGAACTCTTAGAGAAATGGGGGTTCCAAAGTAAAGTAGGAATTAATTATGAGAAGCATTAACCACATTCCAGGCAGATGTAGCCTACTCAAATATTGACCTATCTGTCCCAGAATTGTTATAGTATTGTAATATCACCAATTAAATATTTTGAGATGATGAACATCTATTAAAAACACTTAAGAAAAGGGAGCTTTATGAACTCAGTATGTGATTTTCCAGGATAAAGTTAGGGAGGCCCTGGGAAGTTTATACACTCTTTCTGATTTACCAGCTTGGGAGAACATGAGTAGCAAATGATAGAATCCTCACATTCAGTACTAAAAATGGCATGGGGAAGTCAGGACTGCTGAGATGTTTAGGAAATGAAAATGATTGAGTTTTTATTTTGGGGAGTTTTTGTTGTTGTTTTTGTTGGAGAGCAGCAGGTGGTGAAGAAATAAGCTTGAGTTCTCTATAATGTGAAATATGGTTTTTAACAGGCTTGCAAAGATCTGTGATTTCCCCTACTCTTATTCACCATTACCACTATGCCTTATGCCGTGGCTTGGCCATTTCAGTACTTGGGACATAGTACTAACTCCATCTCATGTCTACAAGCAACAGCAGCCCTGGGTGGTGAAAGCAGTAGATCTAGGTAACTCCTGTTTTATCCCTTTGATGAACAGGACAGCTGGTTCTTCTAGGTTTTAAGAGGATCTCATACTATTAGAATACTTTGAGTACCCTAATGCATATGGCTTAATATTGGAACTTGAATCTGTCTGTTCATATTTTACTATCTTATAATTATTGCTGTTAAAAATTCAGGATATCAGGATTAAATTTCTATTCACTATGGTAATCTGGAGCCTGAACTTTGAGCCCCGTATTAGGGTATAAGCAGTAAAAATCTTTTAAATTGTCATAACCTGACATGAAAATAGCAATGTTATGTAGAAACAGAAATGCATCTTGTGGGTTGTTCTTTACTACTTCTTCAATATACAGTCTGATAATGTAATTACATCCAGATCTCATTATTAGACTAAATTTTGGCTAGGTAGCTGTATAATAATGGTTTGTCACAAAGATTTTTAGCATTTTATCACTCAAGCTTTATTTTTTTCATCATTCTAAAATGAAAAAAAAGTAATTTTTTCCCCTTTATTTTCTGAGCTCTTACATCTCTTCTTGTTGCTTCTAACCAAATAGGTAGGAACAAGGGAGGGAGTTTGTCCATTTCTGAGGTACCAACAACTGATAGGAGGGGAACTAGGCCAACAGGAACTTAGATAAACCTAAACCTGCTGGTTTTCAGAAGTAGTGAATTTAATATATTCCTAGCCTTATAGCCTTAGAAGAGATACATTAATGTCTACAAGACACCACATATACTTTTTTTTAATTTTAAATTTTTTTTAAAATTTAAAAATTTAAAATTTAAAATATTTTCTTAAACTGGTTGTTTTCAATGACTACCATATTATAAAGAATTTTCCACATATCCAAATTTAATTCCTTTTAAGTTTTTTTAAAATTTCCCACTTCCTTAACAATGTCTTAAGGAAGTTCTTAAGTGATGATGTTTTAATAGTCCTCTACTCTGTCCTGCAAGAACATATTAATTTATATCAGGTTTCTTTTTGGGATGGAGAAGGGGAAGAAGAAGAAGAGGTGATATGTTTTGGAATAATTTATAGAGGAAAACCTTTTATAAAAACAAACCAACCTTTTTACAAGGCATGGTTTTTTCTAACATTTTAATCCTTATATAGAACAGGAGTTCTTAACCTGAGATTTGGCAACTTACAGTTTTTAATATTTTGATAACTAATTTGATGTAATTGGTGTCCTTTGTAATCCTGTGTATATTATATTATGCATTTTCAAGCATGATTGTTGAGATGGGGGCCATAGGCCTTACCACACTGCCAAAGCAATCCATGACAACAACAGCAAAATATTGAAAACCCCTAGTTTAGCCACTCATTTTGAAAAGATATTCTTATAATTTAAAAGAACCAAAAATCCCCATAGAGTTAAGATAAGAGGATAAGGAACAAAGATCTTTGTTTTGTATGCATTAACACTGCAAAGGACGCAGAATTGGATCCCATGTGGAAAGATTGCTGAGTCTCAGTCTGTGGACAAGTTAATTAAAAAATTAAAAAAAAATCACTCTTTCCCAGGATCTAACTAATATGATTTTGAAGTACTGTACATGCTATGTCATGAAACAGTTAATCTTATTAATTTTGGATAGCACAAATGCTTTGGGGAAAAAAATTATTTTCCGTGTTACAAAGAGTAGCAGTCATGTAGAGCTCTCTTCATTATAGATCACTTTGGGCTCTGTTTCTTTGGGCTGTGAGCACCAAGTTGGATTGAGAAAATGCTTAGTCTTACTTTGATTTTTATACAAACTAAACAATGCTTTTTCTGGAAAGATTATTTTATATTTTCATTTTTTGACGAGAAAAAATTTAGGTTTTGTATATTCATAGGGCCAGTCTGTTGCTTTTAGATAAATGTTTATTGACTAATAGATGGATGATTTTTTTTTTTAGGCATTTGGGGTTAAGTGACTTGCCCAGGGTCTCACAGCTAGTAAGTGTCAAGTGTTTGGTCTGAGGCTGGATTTGAACTCAGGTCCTCCTGACTTCAGGGCCAGTACTCTATCCACTGTGCCACCTAGCTGCCCCAACTTTTTTGTTTTTCCAAAGCATATGAGCATAATTTACTCAAATACTTTGTCTGCAGTGCAGTTATTTCTATCTCAACCATTTCCTAATCTATCAAATTTGGTACTATAAAAGCTTAAATTAGGTCTTTCCAGATACCTGAGACTTTATAATCTTTGTAGTGGCAAATACTGTTGCCTCCTCCCCTGTCCTAGAGACCCAAGGATTTTCACCAACTTATCTGTTGCTACTGCTCTCCATGGTTATATTTATTCTAATAGAGACCCTGTTTCTTAATAACATGATTATGGACAGAAATGGCAGCAATAGCAATGGCAGTGGAATCTAACTAATAGAGTTGAATTTAGAGAAAGTTCAAGGGTGGAGCTGTCCCCTCAGGCACACTCATTAAAAAACTTTCCAAGCCTCTAAAACATTCAGTATAGCATTTTGACCATTAACTGACAAATTGATCCATGTTGTTCACCTGTATATTGAACCTTTAAGCTTGACCCTTGACCTTCTTACTCAGCCTCCTGGCTTTTGATTTTGGCATTGACCCTGTTTTCAGTCCAAATACCACTCCTTAGCTCTGTGATTCATCTTGTTTAAATATCCTAATTTTTTTTTTTCTGGACAGATATTTTTAGTCCCTCCCTATTGCTGCTACATTCTCTTACTTGCCTAAACCAGGGACTCATCATTCTGAACCATGGAACTTGCCCTTACTACAGCAGCACAGTAAAATGGAGTGATGTGAGGTCACTAAGATCCAGATGGTTATTGTTGTTCAGTCATGTCCAACTCTTCGTGACCCTATGGACTATAGCATGCCAAGCCCTGCTATCCTTCACTGTCTCGCAAAGTCTGTCCAGGTTCATGTTGTTTCCATGATATTATCTATCCATCTCATGCTCTGCTGTCCCCTTTTCCTTTTGCCTTCAATCTTTCCCACATCAGGGTCTTTTCCAGTAAATCCCATCTTCTTATTATGTGGCCAAAAGTATTTAAGCTTCAGCTTCAGTATTGACCTTCTAAATGAATACTCCGAATTAATTTAAGTATTAACTGATTTGACCTCCTTGTGCCTAGGGACTCTCAAAAGTCTTCTCCACCATCACAATTTAAAAGCATTAATTCTGTAGCACTCAGCTTTCCTTATAGTCCAACTCACAGCCATTCATTGCTTCTGGAAAAACCAAACTTTTATTATACCGACCTTTGTGAATAAGGTAGTATCTCTGCTTTTTGGTATGCTGTCCAAATTTGCTATAGCTTTCATTCCAAGGAGCATCTTTTAATTTCATAGCTGCAGTT